TGGGCGGCCCCGAAGAAGATGGGCCCGAAGGCCAACCAGACCACGCAGGTGGTGTACATGGCGAAGCCGATGGGCTTGGCCTCGTTGAAGGTCTCGGGGACGCCGCGGGCCTTGACGGCGTAGACGGTGCAGGTCAGCATGAGGAGCAGAGCGTAGGCCAAGCAGGCCAAGGTCCCGCCTTCCGCCATGTCACACCGCAGGACGCCGCGAGCGTCTTCCGGGTCGGGCGTCCGACCCATCTCGTAGTCGACCAAAGCGTGAGGAGGGCGGAGGAGGAGCCAGATGATCACGGCTAAGAGCTGGAGGCCGCTCAAGGAGAAGGTGATGACCAGCTGGGAGGTGGGGCTGATGAACCGGGGTGGGGTGACCGAGCGTTTGCCTGGGGGGACACGGCTGGGTCATCCAGAAATCTTCCCCCCGCCATAACTCACCTTCCCTGAAGATGCGGTAGATGGTTTTGGTGTCAATGATAGCCACGGGGTTGGTGGAACCCCATCCCGCGTCCCTCATGGACCTCAACCTGGACTGCTGGGTGTTCCTCAGACACCTGGGTCCTTCAGAACTCCTGGTCACCCCATAACTCACCTTCCTTGACGATATGGCAGATGTGGTTGGTCTCAGGGATCACTACAGTGTTGGTGGAACCCCATCCCACATCCCTCATGGACCTCAACTTGGACTCCTGGGTGTCTCCTGGACACTTGCGTCCACCCTCAGTCAGCTAGGTTCTTCGGACCTCTTGGTCACCCCCATAACGCACCTTCCTTGAAGACATAGTAGATGTGGCTGGGTCTTGTGCGTTTTTTTTTGTCGTCGTGCAACCTCGCTACTGGACCTCAACCCCCCTCAGCCTGGACGCCTGGGTGTTCCTCAGACACCTGGGTCCTTCAGAACTCTTGGTCACCCCATAACTCACCTTCCTTGAAGATGTGGTAGACGCGGTTGATCTCGGCAACGCCCAACAATGTTGGTGGAACCCCATCCCACATCCCTCATGAACCTCAACTTGGACTCCTGGGTGTCTCCTGGGTCCTCCAGAACTCTTGGTCACCCCATAACTCACCTTCCCCGAGGTCCCTGTGGCTGCGGTTGGTCTCAGCGATGTCCACGGGGGGGGGGTGTGTGGTGGAACCCCATCCCACGTTCCCTCAACCCCGCCCTCCCCTTTCTCGTCTCCGACTCACCCTGCTCGAAGATCCTGTAGATCCTGTTGGTCTTGGTGAGGAGCGCGGCGTAGGTGAGGCTCATCCCCAAACCCAAGAAGAGCCGCCGGAGGGCGCAGACGCCCACCCCGGGTTCGGCCACCATGATGAAGGTGATGGCGTAAACCAAAGCGATCCCCACCAAGAGGACGTAACTCAACTCCCGCCCCGACGCTTTAACGATGGGCGTCTCGTGATGTTTAACGAAGGTGACCAAGACGAAAGCGGTGGCCATCAACCCCAAAGT